CTGTGGCTGACGTTTGGGTTACTGCATGCGTGCTGAACTCCTCGCATCGTTTAAAGGGAGAGGCTGCGTGCACAATGACAATGTGCGGCTACCGTTGTCGTGGCTTAGTGAGGCTGGGCGGACTCGGTGTCCTCCTTCATCGCTGCCCACGCGCCGCCACCTGCCATCGTGCTGATGGGGCGCCACCCTTGTGCGCTCTTCTTGCCTTGCGCCGCACTTTGTTTCCATCTTCATTTCTTCCTTCCCCCCATCTCCGCACGGTGGGTGCCTTGCTTACCTTTGTCTTCTCCTCGGGCCTCGTTTGCCTTGCGTTTTAATTCGACTTCTAATCCAGCACTGCCGTATTAAGTGGCTTTGGCTGTTTTGCTGGTCGAAGAGACTTGTTTTTTTTTTTTTTGTGAACGATGGTGAATGCGTCTGTATTTCTGTGTCTTCTATTCATGTATATCCACGGATATCTCTGCATTCATATCTCTGTTCCTTTTTCTTCCGTTGATAGTTTTTTCTTTTGACTTTTGAAAATGCACCTTCGGTGCATGCCCTGCAGCCGATTGTTGGTTTCACGTTTATGTATCATTGCGGCAATTCAGCTTTGTTTACTTGTTTTAATTGTGAACCCTGTCAAAGTGCCGGCTACATGGTTGCAGTCGCCCCCCAAATCGTGGAATGGCACTGCCAATGCTGGGAATGTTTCACAGGCCAATGTACTGGGGTGGAGTGGGACGAGGTGTGGTCCTGGCGCCGTTCTGTCGCGCAGTAGTTTGCGTTTTGATTGTAGGATGCCCAACAGAGCGGAAAAGCCCATATCTCCCCCGTTCTGTGACCTGATTCTTCGTGCTGGCCCACCACCCTGTGGTTTTTATGTCGGAGGGAGCTTCAAAAAGCCGTTGAGACTCCTGAGTTTGTCTGAGCTGAGGCAGCGGCGTGCCGACGGGCGTGCCGCGTGTGCCTCGCGATGGACGTACGACGGAGTGCAGCACAACTCGATGCCCCGCGCTGCTGAAACTGGTGATCAGGGGCTCGGGTTTGAGGTGCGACCTGCCTCGTGCCCGAGCTACCGCTACTTTTCTTCGTTGGAGGCGTTATCGATCCTACACTACGCGAGCATTGGTTACAACGGGTACGGCATTGTTGTCAGTGGTGACTCGATGATGAGGCAGATACTTCTGCGGCTGATGTTTTTTCTGCGTGGCGAGGAACTGTTTGCCGAACACTACTTTCACTTTGACGCGCTGTATATTGTGTACGAGGATCATGACGAGCTGGCTCTTTCCTTTAACTGCACCCACAGAGCTCTGCTGGCGAAGTACTTTCCTGGGTACAAGGTGGGATCCAACATGGGAGCCTCCTGCGACGGGGTTCAACCCCGTGAGCGGGTTCTTGCCATCCTATTATTTTTGTGGGATCCCGTGGTGGGTGAGTTTCGCGAAGATCCCCTTTTAATGCAAGGTCCGCCACTGCATTTGGCCTCCTACATGTACTGGTGGAAGGAAAGGTCAGATAGTGTCCAGGACCTAACACAATATTTCCGTCGCGTAAAAAGCCGAAGGTTTGATAACGCAACGAAAGTCAATAGAACAAGAATAAACTACATCTACTTCACCACACCCAGACTGGAGCTCGTGGGTCCTCATGTTGTCCCCAACGACGTGCGCCTAAAACGAAACACGCTGGCATGGAATGCCCTTAAATCGATGCAGGAGGAGTGGGACAAAGTGGGCGCAGGAAAACCACCAATATCGTTGGTGGACTTTGCCGCCTTGGCGGATGTGCGACGTCTGCGCCGGACGGGGGATTTGATGCATTTTATGTGCACATGGAATCCGAGTAGTCCAGGCGAGATTTCAAGAATTATAATTACGCATGCGTCGTGCAGGGACCCTATGAATTTGGCGGTGGTGCAGTGGACCTTGCATTTGCTTTGGACAGGGCTGTAACCCCGTGCCTTGTTGTTTTTGTGCAACTATTTTATTTCTGTGGTGCATAGGAGTTTTTTTTTTCCTTTGCGGGTTATGTGACAGAACAGACACGTTGGAATGGTCTCCCATAATATGTTTGCTGGGCCCTTCTTGGGCACAGGGGTGCTGCGGTGCTGGCTCGGTGCGGCAAGCAGGCGGGGACGGGTCGCAGAAGTGTGGGACCTCACTCTTTTGATGGTCACTGTTCCCGTTAGTTGCCTTTCGTGGCGTTGGTGTCTTGTCTTGCAGAGTCCGAAACACGGCTTTATGACCGATACGATTACTCACACGATAAATGTGGTTTTTAAATTGTCTGTATCTTAATTTTAGACCCGTGCATCTAGGAGGTATACGTTTGGATGTGTGCCTGTTCAACCTCTTTTTTTCTCCCCCCCCCCCCCCCCTGAAATGGCGAGAACAATGCTCTGCAGCGGTTGGTGTTCGCGTATACTATATACCTTGGCCATTTCTTGGGTGTTTTTTTTTCATATATAAGAGTATGTGCGTGCAGAGTACGGGGAGTAAGTAAGAGTGCTGGATTTGTCTAAATCCGTTTTTTGGTTTTGTTGTTCTGGTTGTGTCGCTTTGTGGATGAGCTTATAAAGAGAGCGTTACCTTTTTTTTCTTTTGCCATTGTGGTGTGGGTGTTGGATTCGCTAATGGCGGGGGACGCTTAGTAGGAGGTAAAGTTGCACTGTGATGGAGGCGAGGTTGGAGGTCGTTGTTGCGGCGCTGCAGGGCCAGCTTGGCCAAAATGGGATTCACCCTTCTCCATCGCGTGTTTACGGCATTGCATGGGAGTTGGTAAAAGCAGTGGCGGCAACGGAGCGTCAGTGCCAGCTGCTGCGCCTCCTCGCATTCTTTGAGACGAGTCAGGAGCACTGCACGGCAGGGCACGTTATTTCAGCAGGGGCGTTGATGTGTGCCGGTGGCATGTTATCAGACGAGGATGTGCGACGATGGGAAAGGGCGATGTATTTGATGCTAGTGGCACACCCACCGTTTGCGAAGGACGTCATCTCGGCTGCTTGCTATTGTGTTGCGCAGCTAGCCGTGTGCGGCGGCTCCGTCGCGTTGGTTGGCACAGCTGGGACGTCGTTACAGAACTCTGCATCTACTGCAATTTTGCCGGAGGAGGTTGCAACGGAGCTGCTGGCAGAATGTGCAGATGCTCTTGTGAGGGCACACCAGGGGGAGGAGGAAGGGGCTGGAGGCACAAAGGGGGAAACGGAGTTGACAGAAAAAGGCCCGCAGCAGGCCGCGGCGCTTCGGGATGCGTTGATTGGATATGCACTGGATGCGCTTTTCTTTAGGCGTGGAGCTGTGGAGCTGAGTTCTCTTCTCTCCCGCCGTGTGTTGATACCGCTGCTCCTTTGCGGTGGCCACGCATCTCTTACCAGCCACCACGCGCGTATCCAGTCGTTGCTGCAGTCGCTTGCAGAAGAGACGGCGCGGCAGGGTCGAAGTGGTCGTTTTTATCGCGGCTCTTTTTGAATATTTGTTTCGCTTTGCCGATGGCAACAAGGACCGCGACTACCGCTGCTCCCCGCAGCTCTGGAACACACTTCATGCAGCCTTCTGGGATGCTCTGACGTGCGACGCAGACGCTGGAAGACGCGGCAACATGCAGTTGCGTGTGGAGTACCTTTTAAAGCGCATCGTTGCCTTCACACATGAGCAGGAGATACAGGAGAAGTGGACAGGCAACGTATTCTTCCATGAATACTTTGTGTGGAAGCCCGCGGTAAGCCACAATCAGTGGGGATTGTTCTTTCTTGTTGCTGAGGCCACCAACGAGTTCGGCCTGCATATCATTCAACCCGCACTCCCGAAACTCGACGCTCTAGTGGAGGTCTTGACACACGATGCTGTGGCATGGGCTGCCATCAAAGATGGCGGCAACACAGAGGCGGTGACGTCGTCAACGCACTTTGTGGCTGGCTTTCACCCAGCATGGGTAGAACTGCTCTTTTTGAAGATGCTGTTGCATCCAAACACGGCCGTCCGAAAAGCTGGGCTGCAGCGGTTATGGTCGCTGAGTACACCGGTGCTGAGACTTTTCTCAAGCGGTTTTCTCTTCACAAACGCCGTGGAGGCTTCCGTGGACTTGCGGCTTTGCGCAGAAGTTGACCGCGCGCCGCATGCGGCGATATTTTCCATGCCGAAGGGATTTGAGGGGGCTGAGGTGCGTGCGCTGGAGGGAGTGGCGGGACCACTTGCGGATCAACTCGAGCATTTTTACGCTCGCCTTTTTCGGGATGTCTTACGCACGACTCAGGAACGCAAGGAAGCCATATCTTATCTCCTGCATGGCGTGCTGGAGAGACCCAGCGTGTATGGTGTGACGATGCTGCTTCGTATTCTTCACGGCGTTGCAGAGGCTCTGTCGCTTGATGGGGATGCGGGGAGTAGAGAGGCGACTGTGGGGATGATCACTGATGCGGATTTTCTGCACTCGATGCTGCTTCTTTTGAAAGATGCAGCAAATGATGGTGTTCCATTTTGGCTTGATGTTCGTCTCAGCGCGGTGGCTTTTAGTACGCTTCTGCACTTTGCCCGGATTGATCCCACGGCGATGCGCCAGTGCGACGGCTTTTGGAAGCTGTTTTGTGTCTGTGGTCCTCTTGGGAGTCCCGGCGGGGGTAGTGCTGCTGCTGTTGACTCCATCGGGAACATTGGTGCACTCGGCACATGCATTCACCCTTGCTTTCTCAACGAACAGCTGCTGCGGATGTCTAGGGCCGCTCCGATTGGAGGGAGCGAGCTCGGCTTCATGCGCACCATGTTGCGAACCGATTACCTGCGTGAGGAGGTGCGACAGTTTCTTTGCCTCGCCGCCTTTGACGAGGTGCGTGGAAAACAGCTTTTTTTCCTTTGTGGATCCTTGCACCTGGGAGAGCCTGAGGACCGGCAGCTGCTCGCAGATGTGGCGCAGGAGATTGGGGCAACGCTTCTCTCTTTTGCAAAGCGGCCGTACGGCCCGACTGCATCGTTCCTCGCGGCGTTGGTTGCATTTGTGGAGTTTCATCATTCTGTTGGAACGGTGGCTTGCACGCAGTACTACTCGCGGACGACGATTGCTGATTTGCGTGGCACTCTGCATACAGTGGCGTTCAGTGCCCTTCGACAGGCTACTCGGGCGATGATGCAAGTGAACTCCTTTGAGGATTTTTGTGGGGATGTTTGGGCGTTGCAGCACACTTTGGAGTGGGACGCTGTTGTTGCGGCGACCCTGTCTGCAGGACAAATCGCCGTTGCCCACGACCCCGCGGCTGCAACGACGTGGTCTCAGTCACGCCAGTGCGTGGCGGACGTACTGGAGTTGTTGCTTCTTTTAGATGCCAATCGGACTCCGTCTGCAGCCCCTGCGGGTGATACGATCAGAGTGACTCGGCACTTCGCCCAAATGGTTGTAGCCAGGAATATGTCTCGCCTCCTGCAGAGTGTGCTCTCCAGCCTGATCGTATTGGATACACCCAACCGTACATTGGAAAACGTGAACACGGCGGATGTTGCATGTCGTCTGCATTTTGGCATGACGGATCTTGTGCACTGGATTCGAAGCCTCATGCAGTGCCCTTCCTTGCGACTCTTGACATGCGATGTGCCTTGTCCACTAACTAGCCTTTCATGGGCGACGCTCTTGGCACAGTACTATGGTGGCGTTTACAACTCAGTCTTTGTTCTCTGCAGCTGCGTGGAACCAGCGGAGAGCCCAGAATTGGTTTTGGAACTTCAGGACTACGCCCTAGACCATGTGGAACGCTGCTGGAGCACAAACCTTGCAAGCGTTTACGATATTCTTGCCTGGGTGGCCAACAGTGCGGCTGCCACGGAGAGGGATACAGGGCGCGACAGGGGCGTGAACCACCGTGCCATCATCAGCGCCATGTTTGTGCACTTGAAAGATGTTGGGGCCAGAGACCATGGACGCGTCTCCGTCCTTGCGTTCAACGCCCTCCGCTGTGGTGTGACTGAGCATGGAGACTTGGTCAAGTCACACATCTCAAGGACGCTGCTCGATGAGGCGGAATCGGAGCGCTCGGTGTATGTGGCGGCAGTGACCATAGCGACGGAGGTGCTTCGTGACCCCGCGGCAAACTGGCCGCGCTTGCAAGATCTCCTTCTACATGTCGCCGTCTTGTATAACTCTGGGCGCGATGAGGAGGCCTCAGAGATGATGGTGGCGACCACAGAGCCGTTGCTGCTTCTGTGGCCTGAGGCTCTACGCATACAGTACCCGCCAACTGTGCGACTCTCATCGGTTGGCCGCGCCCTCGCAATCTCCACCATCTTGTGGTGTTGTCATTTGCGGCACGACTGGGCGACGGCGCTCTCGTTGGAGTTGCTGGACTGGAACACCACTCACGTCGCCGTCAAGCATGAACCGTGCATGCCGAACTCCAAACCCCATCGCTGTCGTCTTCGTCTGTGGCAGTTGCTTTGTGCGCTGCTTCCGATGATTGATGATGCGACTGCGCAGCGGGATATTTTGCAGCGGGTCTTGCAGGTGTGTCTGCCTCTTATCAACATGGGCAGTGTGAGACGACTGATGGAGATTTACGCGCTAAAAATCCTGGAGCGCCAGCCCGCACTCTACACTCTGCTAGATGCGGCGCTGGCAAACTACAGTCTACGACCGCAGGTTTGTGGGAGTTATCTCCTGATCATAGCGCAAATGATACTTCGACAGCTTCGAGGGGAGGTGGCTTGCGTGGACGGTCTCTTTGAGACGCTGCTTCACCGTCTTTTTCAGCAGAGTACTTCGCATCAGCACCTCCTGCGGATCATCTGTCACATTGGACTCTACCACATTCATGCGACCTGTGCGGTGCAGGGGGTAAGGTTCCTCCCTACGGAGGAGGAGGTCTTTGACTACATTGCTCGTGCACCAGAGCATGTGAAGTTCCGCGACAAGCACGCGGAACAGCTGTTCTTTAATCTGGCGGAAGCCTGCACCCCGCGACAACTCTTTTGCATTCAGCGAAGGGAGGGAAACAACATTCTCACGGAAAGTGTACCAGCCGCTGCCTTTGAGCGAATGCGGTTTCTGGAGCACGAGTTCCGCTGCCTCATTGGGGCGCTAAGCCCGGTGGAGATGCTTCGTGTGCGGCGAATCTCGGATTGCATCGACAGTCGCCGCCTACTCGAACCCCTCAAGGACTTTCCGTACATTCCACATACGGAGACCCATACAACATACTGTGTGGATTACACCGCTGAGTCCGTGGCACTTCTAATGGAGGACGGCGACATCAAGAACAAAAGCGGCATCAGAAGCGGCGTCAGGAACACAAACAACAACGTGGGTGACGGGGATGAAGACATTCAGCGGAAGGTAACGCCGTGGTGGAGCGGCCTGGTGTACAACGAGCTCCACCCGCGAGCATTAAAACATAATAAGCGACAACCCATTATTGTGATAGGTTCGTTACTGCAAAACCCTGTGAATGTTGCCGGTCTTTTTCGTTGCGGTGAAGTCTTCACCGTGGAGAAGGTTGTCGTGTCTGACCCAGCCGTTTTTGAGCACCCGCACTTTGTGGCCGCCGCGCGCAGTGCCGAGCTATGGTTGCCGTGGGAGGCAGTGCCGGCAAAAAATCTGCCGCCATTTTTGGGTTCCCTGCGGCGCAATGGCTATACACTTATTGGCATTGAGCAGACGGCAGGAAGCGTGTCGATGGCGTCGTATCATTTCCCTGAGCGCGCTGTTATTCTCCTTGGTGCAGAAGGCCACGGCGTTCCAGCGGAGCTTCTGCCGTTATTGGATGTATGTGTGGAAATTCCGCAGTTTGGACTGATTCGTTCGCTTAATGTACACGTGACCGGTGCCTTGGTGATGTACGAGTACACCCGACAACACCTTATGAATTAGGCGTGAGGTTTCCTTTGGTGGTAGGGAAGCAGTCGAATAAGTTGTTTTCGAATTAAGTTTTTTTTTTTGTTTTCTCTGTGCTCTTTAAGCTTGCTCCTTGTATATGGCGGGTGCCTTCTCTGGAGGCGTGTCGCCATCCCCTTCAATGTGTGTGTAGTTTGCTGTTTAATGCCATTTGCTGCGCCGGATGCATCTTCGTTTTTTTTTTTTTAATTTCCAGCTGCTTCAGTCTCTCTCTCTATCTGTCTGCACGCGTCTGTGTGGGTGTGGGTGTGGGTGGTTGGGAGTGTATTGCTGCGGATGCAGGAGGAGGCGGTGCGGGCTGCGCTGGAGAGCGGTGCATGGCGCGAGAAGAAAGACCCAAAGTCCGGCAGGACTTACTACACCAATGCACAGACACGCGTCTCGGTCTGGAACCTCGCAAAGGAGCTTGCCAAGCCGCAGCAACGGCAGACCTCCGCGGAGGAGGCTACCTTGAGCAAACTGAAGAGTCTACAGAGCCTGGGGGATGAACGGAAGGCGCAGGCGAAGCAGTGGCAGGCGGAGGAGGAGGCGCTGATGCAACTTGTGACGGAGCTGGAGCGGGAGAAGGCACAGCTCGAGAGTGAGATCACAATCATGCGGGGACCGACAGAGGCGGAGGCAGCGGCTCTACAGGAGGAGCAAAAACGGCTGCAGGACGCAAAGCAGAGCTTTGAAGTTGTTGTATCGGAGGAGCTGCGAAAGCAGGAGGAAAAAACGGCGGAATTGCATCAACTTCAGGCCCGATTGGTAACACTACGGCAGGAGCGGCAGGAGGAGCTGGAGGTGTTTGAGTCGTTGAGTAAACGACTGGGGAAGCTTCGCGAGGAGCATGCGGAGGTACTGACAGATCTGCGGCACGAGGAGGCGGTTGAAGAATCATTGCAGGATGAACTGCAGCGTGAGGAGCGGGAGTTAGAGGACGCGTTGCGTGAGGAGGCGCGCCTGAAGGAGTTTCTGAAGCTGCGGGAAGACGAGGTGGACCGCATGAAGGCCGAGTTAAAGTCTGTTTGCCAGCGAAGGGCGGCGCAGCAGCAGCAGTACCAGCGACTGGTGGAGGAGGTCGCAGGGGGTGAGATGGAAGCAGCAGAGGACACGGTAGGGGAGCCTTCGGGGTCCTCATCGCTGCGGCCTTGTCACTTGCAGCGTGAGGTGGCAACGCAAAAAAGGAACCTGCAGCGTCTAAGGAAGCAGCAACATCTCGGGACGGAGGCGGAGTGGATGGATGCGGAAAGCGCCGAGTTGCGGCGCTTCACAGCCTTGACGGAGCGTGAGGTGCAACGACTTGCTCAATTCTCACGTGAATTGAGTGATCAGACGCGAGCAGTTACGCCACTGCTGGAGGCCATCAAACGTGAAGTGCGACAGCTGGAGGAGGAGGAGGAACAGCAGTGGAAGTAATCGGGCAGGGGCAGGTGGTGACTGACGGCCCACCCATTCCCTTTTTGTTTTGCCCTCTCTCTTTCTCTCCTTTTATCGAGGCTAACTGACTCCCCAACAGGGTCTGAAGTGCCCCTCTCTCACTCTGCCGATGTCTTATGTCTCTTCGGTTGTAGTTGCGCCTTTCCACACGGAAAAAAAAAAGGTGGGGGGGGTGGTGGTCAACTCCCCCACATATTTTTTTTTTTTTTGTTTTGCACGGAGCTGTTCGTTTGCCGTTTAGATTTCTGGCTGTTTTGTTTTGTTTGCGTTGTGGTTCCTCCGTGTTTTTTTTTTGCTCCGCCTCTCTCTCGCTCGGGTCGCGCTGACGAATGCATCGTTCGGCCTTTTCAACGGGCACCGTCCCTGCGGTCGCGGCTGCGGCTGCAGCAACCGCGGCCCTGCAAGCGTCTCTCAGAGGTGGTCTCGTGATGCACACCCCGAAGTCGGATATTGAGTTGGGCCGCTTCAAGTTTATGGATCAGTACAACGAGTTTCGCAACCGCTCCGGTAAGGCTCCTGTACTATTATGTGAAGAAGTACAGCGACACGTATTGGCGCGTGAATGATTAACATACGCCGGGCAGAAAACTACCTTCATTCCAGGGATTTTTTTTTACCTCCCAACGTTAGAGTTCCCGTGATACAAGGGCTGTTTACCGCTCTTTTCCTCGTATCAGATTCGCCTGCACTACGGCCGGCATCACCGTGCCTACGCAGAAAAGTTGAACCAGTTCATTGAGGGCACGTCGCTGTGCGGGTCCAACTTGGATGATATCATCCGGCGCACGCACTATGACGTGATGCTATCCGGTGTGTACAACAACGCCGCCCAGCACTACAATCACTGCTTCTTCTGGAAGTGCATTCAACCCTACGGCAGCAACATTCCACCAGACTTGACGGCGGCTGTGGAGAAACAATACGACTCGGTATAAGCGTTCCAGAGGATTTTCACGAACGCCGCAACGAGTCTGTTTGGTAGTGGCTGGGTGTATTGGGTGTAAGACACCCGTTTGGGTCAGTTTGATATTATTTCACTACCCAACGCAGGGTGTCCACTGACCAACACACATGTGGTGCCACTGTTGTGCGTCGATGTCTGGGAGCATACCTACTACGTGGGCTATGAGAATAGCCGCGCCGCATTCCTTGCCAAGTACTTTGACGTGGTGGACTGGCACTGGGCCGAGCGTCACTGGAAGCGGGTGACAGGACAGGAGTACTACGAGAAGAAGTACTTGTAGGACTTCCACATTGCGGAAGGAAGGAGGGAAGTGGTGCATAAGATGAATGCAAATAGGGGGGCAGGGGGCGTGCTCTTGCTTCTGTTTTCATTGTGTGGGAGCGTTTGAGAGCAGTCGTTGGGTCCTTTTCCTTTAGATGTACGTGGGTAGGCATCCTTGGAGCGGAGAACATGGAGGACCGTGCGGAAAAGGAAGGTTGCGTTTATCTGCATGCAGGTTGGGGTCCTGTGGTGACAGGTAGCAGAGTGATGGTGTGGTGTTGTGACGGGGATGTGAGCAGGGTAGTTGCTAGCGGACTTCTGGTGTGGTGTTAAAGTGTGCAGGGAGGGAGGGGGGGGGGAATAAAAGTATGGATGCGTTAGGCAACGTGGAAAGGAGAAAGAAGTGCGGGCTTAAGGAATCATGGGTTAGGAGGGTGGATGGGGGAACGTTTATGTGCATGCTTCTAGTGGTACTCCGTGCAGTGAGACCTGACAGCTTTCAGTGGAAGGCGGCTTCGACATGTATCCATATATATATATATACTGTGTGTGTGTGTTGCGGATCCGCACGATGAGCGTGGATGAGCTGTGGTGGGGAGTGTAAGAGGAGAGTAGAAGTGAGTAGAGAGCGGGAGGGAGTGCAGCGTAAATGGGAGGGACGTGGCCACTTCTTTTCCATGGGGGTTGGTGGACTGTTTCTCCTCTGCCTGGACACCCGTCTGTGTTCGTATCTCTCTGTGCGTGAAATGACCCTTGAGAGTCCTTCCCCGGCCTTGGGGGAGTGCTTCTTCACACTGGACGAGAACTGCCCTTGACGACACTTTGCAACTGCGGTTTCTGCCGTCACGGCTGCTTTACCCCCTCTCCCTCTTGTGTTGTGTGCCCGGCTCTAGTGGGAGTAGCAGTTCCCTGGTGTGTGGCGCCAGCGCGTATTATTTTTATTGTTTTCGAGCTCATACTCCAAGTCCTTTTGGGGCGCGGGCCGCAGGTGAGTGGCCGAGTCTGTGGCTCTGTACTAAGGAGGACGGCGGGGCGGCAAGAATTACTGTGTAGAGGAGAGTGGCGTCAGCGCCTCGCATATGCGAAGAAAAACAACAACAACACAAAGACAGAGGCGCAGAAGAATGATGCGCCGTAGTTGTCTCGTGCTTAGCGCTGGCATGGTGGAGTACCGTGAGTGGCACCTCCACGAGCCACTGCTGCAGAACTACGAGGGCTGGCGCATCCTAGACAACCCACGCTACGAGAAGAAGTCCGACGCGTACGTCCACGACTTCACTGGCTGCGTCCGCCACTTGGACCCCATCATTGACGACCCACGGCTCACCCACAAGCAGCGTGTTTCCCGACTTTACCGATAAGCACTGAAGGAACTGCAAATGTGGCTCGTCCAGCTGAACGCACACAAATTTAATCTTGCCTACAAGGTGGTGCGTCGGCGATTTGAGATGTACCGCTACGTCACAGATCCCGCTGTGTGCGACATGATGGTGCGCCAAACGCAGAACTACCTGCGCGAGAACGCGTGCTTTTATTTTCTCCGTTGCAACAACGGCTCCCCGTGGTCGACGTACACCCTTTCCAACCCCATGTTTCATCCTGACGTGTCGCAGGTGTACGACCACTGGACACACCCAGAGGTGATGTGATACGACGACGCAAAGCTGCATCGTTGGTCGTCGCACCACCCGATGTACGCCGGGACGGGAGAGATATCTGACCGCTTTGGAGACATGGATGTTTCGCCACATCTTAGTCTCCTAACGAGCGTGATCTTTGGTTGCGTTTTCTTGTTTTCTATTTGCAGCTTTCTTGCCGTTTTTGATCGCGATGTGGACCCACACTTTGAGAAGTGGTGCGCTTCTTTTGACGACAATCTGAAGGGTGCGCTCTTCGCGGCAGAGCGGAACTCGCGCAGTAAGGCGTCGATGCTGAGGTGGGAATGGGACTGCATCATGGGAAAGATCCCGCATCAGAGTGGCTTTCACTTTTACAACGTGCAACGATTCCAGTAAGAGTGGATGATCGGCGGCCCTTTGGTGGTGGTGGGTTGTTGTTCTAGTCATGGTAGCAGTAGTAGACGTAGGAGCGATGATGGCGGCGGCGGCGGCGGCGGTAAAGGGGTGAGGGGTGTGTGTGTGTGAGAAGAAGAATAAGGGGATGGGATGGGGTGTTGGGGGAACGTTTTTTTTTTTGTTGCTGTGTTCTTCCGCATTTCGAAGTATCTGTATTTTGAGAGTAGCTAGTGGTACAAGTGTGAAGCGATTGAGGACGGGAGTAGTAGATATCATGCAAAATGAGTGTTGCAGCTGCCCCGAGTGAGGGCGGTAGCAGATGGCATGAATACATTTATCCAAGGTCACTTGATCTCTTTATCTCTCTCTCTCGTGGTGGCGTGGTGGCGGGGCCTTGCATCTGAGGGCCTTGCGAGTGATATTTATGTACCCTTTATTGGCGTGCATGTCTTGTAGAAGCGTCTCCTTCAGTTCTCATCTTTTTTTTTTTGTGGCGGTTTGTGCTACTTACTGGGTGGGTTGCAGGGAAGCTGCGAAGGACGGGATAGAAGTTTCACGGCTTGACAGCCTCAGCAGGGGGACTCTGCAGATTTCGTTCGACGTGTTGATTGGGTTTGGCTTTGCCTGGGGATATACGCTCGATGACGTCGCTGTCAGCGGACATGGGCGACCAGAGAGCGCTCCTCGTCGCAAATGAGCTGGGGCAAGCACTGATGTTCCTGCATGACGACAGCCTGGACCGGCAAAGCAGCGCCAGCGCCACCAGAGTGGACTACCAACAGATGATGGAGAGCCACACACGGCGTGCCGCGGTCATGGCGGACTATCGGCTTATGGTGGAGCGTCGGAGGAGCCAGTGCGAGCAGCAACCCACTGAGCGCGACGGGGCGGCGCAGGCTGACGGCAGTGCTCTGAGCGAGCGCCAAAGCGTGAACGAGATGTCGGTGACGGAGAGACACACCCCCAAGGCAGCGACTCTCACACCCCCTGACGCTGCCGCTGCACCTCTCGCCTTCACCACTAGCACCATTACGACTACAACCACGGCCACTTCTGTCGTCGGCGTGCCCTCTGGCCCCTCCAAGGGTTCCTGCAAGTGGACAAGGTCGTGGCGGGCTCTTGCGGATAACACCGCAAGTTCCGCAGCGAAGAAACGCCCAAAAGTAAATTCCACGCCAAACACTCTGCAAGGACGGGGTCAAGCGTCTCTGCAACAGAGAAAGACATCTGGTCTCACCGACAAAAGGCTGTCGCCGTTAACGACGCCCCGACATTTATCTCCAGCAACGTCGCAACTGTCCCCGCGTGATACATTGCAGGCCTTGCATCACACACAACTTGCATGCCGCCATGAGCCAACAGAGGGGAGCGTTTACGTCTCGACCGCAACCTCATCGTTTCGATCACTGCGGGAGCCGGTCTCCGATCATGTCCCCAACACCATGAGTCCCTCCCTGATGCACGAGGAGAACGCATCTTATGGCGTAAATGACGCCTATGGTGGTGCAAAGGCGGGGGGAGAGACGGTTGCCACGAGTCAACATGGGGACTCGACGCATCTTTTTGCCTCACCTTCAGTGTCTTCTGTTTCTGAGACGCCGCACTGCCCTGACGCCTCCACATTGGAGATTGAGACGGAGGAGGACAAACGCCTACTGCAGCAGCAAGGGGTAAGGGTGGGGGTCGCGTCTGCACGCAAAACGGGGGGAGTTTTTAGAAAATTTGTGGAAAGTAGAGCAGCGCCCTCGAGCCAGTCACAGCGACGAGTGCCGGCAGTAGAGCTGGTGGCTGTGGACGATAAAGAGGAGCCCTCATTTGCGATCTCTGACTCTTTGCACTCTATCACTGAAATGACGCCGATACTCAAGCGTTTTGGCCGTCAAGCGAAGGAAAATGTATCCGCGTGTAGGCGAACTGTGGAACCCTTCGCCGAGTCGGTGGTGGTACAGCAGCAGCCCACCGCACCGGCGAACCCCCCAGATGACGTGGCTGAGGACTCACACGTGCACGTGGAAGATGATTGCGGGAGGATGACGGAACCGATGCGTGTTGTGCAAACCGCGGTTTCCAACATGCCGCTGCGGGGTGCAACCGGTATTTTGTCGGAGCGTGGCAGTGGGTTGACGGTCGACGACAAAGCCGCGTGCATCGCTACCGTGGCAGCTGTACTGCAGGGCATTCTCGTTCAGACTCGCCGCGTGCTTCCCTGCTACTACTGTGGTGAGGCGCAGCCACTCTCCACATACCGTCTGCACTTGGATTTCTGTAAGACTCGCACAGAAGCTCTCTACACACGCTACGGACTTAATTCGATGCGTTTTATCATGAGTTTGCCCGTACTGCCTATTCCGGCGTTCATGGCCTCAGATGAGGAGAAGGGCGCGTTTGCCAGGGCATGCTACCGGAGCGTGAAGGAGTCCATTGTCCCGTGCCCGGGCTGCAACATGTCCTTTCGCATTCACGATTTCCCAGAGCATCAAGACGTGTGCATCGGCAGTCACACTAACCGTCACCGTGGCAGTCTACGTTCAAGCGTGAAGAAGTGAGATTTTACGAGAGTTAGAGTCTTTGCCCCCTTCCCTCTGCACACACACGCACAGATAGATAGAGTGTATCTGTGTGTGAGCGAAGCGGAGAAAATGAAGGTTGAAGCAAACATCAGCCAACGAAAACCGAGAAATGGGGATATGGAAGGGAGAGCCAGGGGTGTATAGACCTATAGAAGACAAGTCAGCTAAAGACTTTGTTCGCTACAATAACAATAACACGAAGACAATCTTGAGTTGATTGTATCATGCCTTCTTCTTTCCTTTATTGTACCGCATGGTGCTTACACTCGCCCACTTACTGAGTCAAGGTTACGTATGCCATGCGTTTTCGTAATCACCTCACCTCTTCCACTTTTTTGTTTTTATTTCCTTTTCTACCAGAGTACACCTTATTTTCCCGTACCTTGTTTATGTGTGTATGTGTGTGTCTGTCGCTATGTCAGCTTACTGTGACTTCGAAGTGATTCCCAGCCTCTGCCTAATTTTTTTTGTACTCCGTTTTTCTCCCTTGTGCAGTAGATAAACGAAGCAGCACTACATCGATTTTTGTTGCGTGAGGTGCGATTGGAGGCAGAAATTTCTGCAAAGTATAAAGGTCGGCGTGTGGACCAAGGAAACGGGCGCGTCAACGAGGAAGCAGAGTGAGGAGGAAGAAGCGGGTAGTGGAGTCGGTGGAAGCGCGTTGAGAGGGGGAAGGAGGGGGGGGAGGGGGAGACTGCAATTTAGAGGTAGAGGTATTATCTCATCATGACGTCGTCGCAGACTTCATCGTTTGTTGGAGGCGAAGGCCTCCAGGAGCTGCGGCGCCTGTTAGTGACCTATGAGGATGCGGTAAAGGAACTTCGTATTCCTGCCTCTGATAGGAAGTTCTACGAGGTATGCTTTGTGTCTCCATTGCGGGAGTCACTGTCGGCATGCGACGGGGATGCAGTGAGTGACAAGCTGCAGCACGAGTTGGAGGGGCGCTGCTTTCTACTCGCGAGTCTCTGCCGACATCTTGAGGAACACCGTACCGCCACTGTGCGTGTGCTTCAGTTGTGCCAGCGCCGCGACGATCTTGTAGAGGACATGCTGCGTGTTTGTGCACTGTACCAGGCAAACGGCACGCTGCTGTGTCCACCGCTGCCTCCCGATTCCTTCATGGCAGCGCTTGAGGAGCATCATCGCGTGACCTTACTTATTGTGGAGGCCATTTTTGACTGGCGTGAGCAACTTTCCTTCCCATTTCCGTTTGTTGTCTCGGGAGAAAACTACCTCTACCGTATTCTAGACGACTGTAGCCTGTTGGACGCCAGTCTACTTGGACATGTGCTTAGACTGCGGCTAACGGAGCATCCGCTTGGCTCGCACACTGTGCATGTGCCAGATCCAAAACGACGACATGGCGTTTTTATGCGCGGTGGTGGCGACCTCATCTGCGGGGAAGGCGATGGGATGCCAGTTGCCCTGCAAGGGGGGCCGTCGCGGTGGCGGCGTCAATGCTCGCACTCTTGGCCGCACGATATTCACGCCACCGTGAAGCGACGGCACCCGCTTGAGCGTAATAGGAACTTCACCGAGGTTTACCTGCAGTGGGCTGAAGCGGTGATAAAGAAGGAGAGCATTCTTCAGCAAAGGCTGATTAGTGAGTTAGTAATTAAGGCAAAACAGGGCTTTTTTACGACGCTGCTTGCGACGCCTGACATTGTGCGGGATGCCGGTTTTGGGCTGCCCCTCCTCGAGGGATGCTTTGATGTGTGGCGGGAGCGGGTCATTGGAGCAGTCAACACAGCTGCTGCTACTCCAACCACAACTACAACGACAACATGCAGCTCTAATGGGGATGTGACAAAGAGGCGGCGTGAGTCACCTGTGGAAGGGCACGCCTTGCTCCAGTGCAACGGAGGCAAACCAAAACGGGTTACACCCAATGTGGCTACCCCATGAAATTTTCCTTCACATCATAATTTTTTTTTTATCTGGTCAACATCCTTTGCCAGCTTTGGTTAACCGATGAAAGCAGGCTCGACTTTCATGCCGGACGAAAATGTTTGTGAGGTGTGAGGGAGTTGCGGGTCCTTTTTTATTTTTGTTTTTGCTTTCCTTGTGTGCATGCTTGAGGAAACGCTGATAGAAAACATTGTTACTACCATTTTTATTTTATTTTAATTCGTTTTTGGTGTTTTATTTTATTGTTCTTCTTGAATTGCTCTGTGCCTCCCCCTCTTTTTATTTTATTTTGTTTTGTTCTCTGTTTGCTTTCTATCTCTCACGAGAGGCCTCTTCACATGTCTGGGGCGTGCATGCATATATATATGTATTTTTCCTTTGTTCTTTGTTTTGTTTCTTTCTCTGCATGAACTTTTACAACTGTCTCTTCTTCTTTTTGCTTGTGTGCGTTTGCGTGTAGGTAGTCGCTGGACGTGTACTGTGCGGATCGGGTGAGGGCGTACGCCGCTCCCTCCCGCTTTACTTTAGATTGCGTTGGAGTTGTGGGTAGGACGCCATGGCGACCGGCGAGCCGACGTCTGCTCATAGTGGTGCTGGGGGGTTAGGCGAACACCCGGAGCGACACGCACACGCCCGCACTCACGTGTCGGACATTGGGGAATCAAAGAGGGCTGTGGCGTTTAAGGAGTTGAGTCGTTTGTGGCTGACCCCGTTCTTTGGCGCCAACGAACCGGAACCGCAACTCCCGTGGAACACCAAAAACCCCTGTCAAGTGTTTAGCCGATACGTGCATGAGTGCTTAGAGCACCACGACAACAACGTTGACTTTTGCCAGACGAGGTTGGCACTCCTTCAGTCGTGTTTAAATGAGTTCAATATGTAGCGCAGATTGACGATGCTATAGGGTGTGTAGGGGCAGTTGGGTTGGGGGTGGGTTTGATGGGGGGACGGGGCAGGAGTGCACTAGGGGGGTATGCTGGGAGATGGGAAGAGAGGGGATGTGTATAGTACTTTTAGAGTGAATTTGGCTGACGCATGGCAATACGCACACAGAACGGCGACTGTGTGTGTGTGCTGCTAAAACCTGATGGAGTTTGCGTCTCTCCTTGGTGTTTTTGCTTTTGTTTTGTGTGGGTGTTATTCTTTCGACAGTGTTGTTGCTCTCTTTTGGGTTTTTGCAAGGCGGTGAACGTGTTGCACTTTGTTTTCTCGTCGCTGGTGCGGCGTCCGGGCCGTTCATCCCGCTGAAATGCCCCCGCGGGTGTGTCACGTCAGATGCAGCCCGTGTGGGTTATGGGGCTTGCCTGCTGTTTGTCTGCGCTCTCCCTCACTTGTTTTTTTTTTCTTTGTGGTTTTTTTTTGGGCTTTTCGTCCTGCCCTTCTGTCTGCGGGGTGGGGGATGCCTTTGCGCACACATGCACAAACAAAAAAAAAGGCGACACCGTCCACTCTGCTTTTGTTGCTGCGGCGGTAACGCGGAAGATGCAACTCCTCCACACCGTTAGGACGTCCGACGAGGATGGCGCCTACGTCCTTGACGGCTGCCTCTGCAATGGCGGCTCCTCCTTATGCCTCTCCGTCTCCGACCACTCCATCCGGTGCTACGACGCCCAAACTGCGGGGTTTCTCTTTACGCTTCTAGGACACACCTGCGCCATCAAAGACGTGACGTCATCTGCGTCGCAGCCGACGGTTCTGTACTCCTCGCAGGAGGACACGGGGGTGATGATCACGGACCTGCGGCAAGTGAATCCTGCACACTTCCTGAGCGAGTTCTGCGGGGCTGGGGCGACGGGCGGTACAGTAGGAGTGACACCCAATGGTCAGTTTCTTGGCGTTGCTGTGGACGGCGACACCCACATCGTGGACACGCGCATGTGGCAAACGGCGCACGTTATAGCAAATATGCACCTGGACGAGATCACTCGGCTCCGTTTTCTTGACGACACGGTGTACTGCTCTGCGGGGGAGGACCAAATGATCAACTTTATTGATTCCTCCGCAGCGGTGAAGGAAAACAACATGCTTCTGCAGGCGATCTCCTGCGGGGAGGTAGTGACGAAGATGACGGCGTTTCCTGAACATGGCGCCTTGGGACTCGTTGGCTCCTGCGAAAACGCCTACCTCTGCCCCTTTGACCTGCAGGAGCGGGAGGTGCGCTACCCACGCCCTGATCACGCAACGTACCTTGTGGACATGTGCGTTCTCAACGGGCAGATCCATCTCGTGCGCGGGGTGAGAGATGAGGAAGGGAACGCCGGGCCACTTTTTCTCATGAATTGGGACACGCGCGACGTCGTGCAGTTGGCACCTGTACACAAGGAGATCTGCCGTATTGCCATTGGCATCGGGGACCGCCTCATCACTGGTGGTGAGGACAGTCTTGTGGCCTTCTGGCGCACAGCAGACGCTGCGACTGCCTTACCCACGACGGCGCCTACGGACGCTGCTGCGTCGTGGCGGGGCATGGTGAGGTCGCGTCACCACGTGACGAGGCCACTGCGGTCAATGCCGTACGCTAAAGGAGTCGATTAAACAATGGAACGAGAAGAGCGAGGAGGCGACGGGTCCACTGGTCTAATGAAGAAGTAGGTCGACGAAAAAGACGGGAAAAATAACAACGACAACGCAAACACTTACGCATGCATACATGCAGGGGAGCATGCATCTGTACTCCCGAAACAGGTGGACACGTTAAGCCTGCCCTAGTAGGGGGTTGAGGTGAGGGGTTGCCCCACCTGCATCTGTCTTGCAGGGTTTATCCCAACGGCGTTGCACCGGCTTTTTATGTGCCTGTTATTATGTTGGGCGTGTTTGTGTTGGACTCTCCCCTCCGTTTGTTGGTTTGCTTGCACGTCTTCGGGTGCATCGGCAATGCGTCTCTTATTCCCTGCCCCTCCCCCCATCCCTCTTGCAATGTGTTGTTGACGTTCTTTTTTATTTATTTATTCTGCCACACACACACACACACACAAAGACTATTGTGTGCACACCTACTGAGTGGGGTGTCCGTTGCAGAAGCAGCAGTGCCATTGAAAGTGGTGACCCTGCAGAATGAGCTCATTGGCTTCCCTCACGGCGAAGGGGGCGGCGGATGGGAGTGAGCCACTACCAAGCCCCGCAGCGGCAACTGGTGACAAACCCGCGGACGATGCAGCAGTAAAGCCACAGAAGGGATATCAGCAGCTGGAGGAGGAGAGTGCAACGCGGCTCGACGCAAAGAGCCCAACAATGTCAATGCATTCTGCCTTGAAGGGAAGAAGTGGGCGGGAACGCAGCACCGAGATGAAGCCGCGTTTTAACCCCGAGGTTTCTGTGATTGAAACACCTAGCTACGCTATTGTAATGAACGGTGAGGAGGGCGAGGGCGAGGACGAGGACGAGGATAAGGGGTTTACCGTATTCAACCGCCTTTACGAGGAGGCAAAAACGCGGCTTGAACGCGCCAAGGCGGCAAGAGACAAAGAAGGCGAGGTCGAGGACCCCGATGCGAAGGAGTGCACGTTTTCTCCCGAGGTGTCAAGTTACGCCAAACAGTTGGGGAAGTACGCGAACTTTGGGGAGTTCCTGCTGAGCCAAGAGCAGCACAGGAATACGAGTGCCATGCATTTTGAGAAAAAGAAGGAAAGATTGTTGAGCGACGAGCGCTTGGACCTCTTTGAGGACATGCCACGGGAACACAGTCTCCGCATCATTGCGTACTTGGAAAAGGAGCGTCATTACAAGGGCCCCATAAAAGGATGGTATGAACGTTTTCGTGCTTACATGAAGAAGCTGCAGAAGCCGGACCGGGAGCTGACGCCATGTAAGTCTAAAACGCAGTCGGATGCGTCTTCCGTGCACAGTGGTGTTGCTTGTGACGGCGCCGTCTTTGAGCGGCTCTATGAGGATGTGGTTGTGCGGGCGATTTCGCAGCGCATTATGATGATGACGCGGCTTGAGAAAGAGGCTCAGGAGCTGTATCACCCCATCACAAATGAGTCCGAGTATTGGTCAAGTGAGAGCCAAAGCAGTCTGTCTTCCTATAAGCAGAGGAGCGATAGCGGTAGTAGCGGCAATCGGTGCCTCCCGAACCGGGGTGGACAGTTTGCCGCTGTCCACCGCGATCCCAGTAGCAGCGTCTTTGAGGAACTCTATGCCATGAGCGAGGAGCACCGTCGTCGCCGGGAGCTGCGCGCACTGGAGGCTTTGGGCAATCAGGAGGAGCTTACCTTCCGGCCGGTGACAAACCCGCGAAGCAGCAAAATCATCATGGAGCGCGCCATTGCCCGTGCGAAGGGTGAATTGCCAGAGCGCACCACGAGAAAGCAGGGGCTCAGGGATGCCGAGGGCAACGACCAGCTGGAGGCGAACTCGCAGCAGCGGAGGCGCAACATTAGGTTTCACCCTGACATTTTCTGTTCACGGTTGCAGCGCAAAGAGTCAGAGCGGATGCGGCGTCTGGCAGCGCTCCAGCGCAGGTTGCGTACGGATGAGGTCTTGGAGTGTACCTTTCGCCCACGCATCTCCCGCAACAGCCAAATGATGGCACTGCAGAAGGGCTACGGCCAGATCACATTCCCCCCCGCGTCAGATGCCTACCCGAGTCAACCTCGCCGTCACCCATTGGGAAGCGAGGAGGACGACGATGGCGATGATGAGGTTCGCGACCGTGACGCTGGTAGCATTCTTCTTCAGCAAGATCCCTGCCGCCACTATTCGCAACACCAGCAGGACACCTCTCACCGTAGTAGCAGCAAGCGGAAGGCGAGGGACAATGTCACTAGGACGGAGCAGAACAGCAGCGGCGTGGAGGTGCCGGTCAGACGCATGTTTGATGCCGAGGTGGGAGACAGTTACCTTTCTGCGCTCTCGTCGGAGATTCAGGGGATTCTCTCGCAGTGGGCGGAGGTGGCGGAACAGGAGAGAGCCACCATCTGAGCGAGCACACAAGCAGGACACCCAAGGAAGGGTGCAAAACGGTGGCAGCTGTAAAGAACAAAATGAACACTTCAGTCAAGTGAAATTCAAAAACCAGAGCAGCAGGCATGTACAGACGCACACGAGGAGGCGGAAAAGGTAGAAGGCGAGAGTAGGTGCATCACCGTGTTTTTGTCGGTGCCACTGCGGTAAGTTTTTTTTTTTGTGTTTAATGTGTCCACAACGCATGGTGTCATGATATTTATGTATTTGTACCCATTTATATACGAGGTATTTCTCTGTACGAGTTTGACTGTACCATTTTCTTCTTTCTTTAGACACCACAGTGACAATTGAAGGTGTCCCCGTTTCTGCTTACCGCTCCTCTTATTATTATTCTTTGCAGTTCACTGCCGCCAATATATATATATATATATACTTTTTTTTATCGACTATCTTTATTACTGCTTCCCCGCCTATGCCTCCAGGAAGTGAGAATAGTGACCTTTTCAACATGTGAAGAAAGTCAATATATTCGATGCGTGGCTCTATATATATGTATATCTATATATATACATATAGCACCCCTTTTTCTCTTGTGTTTTTTTTTTTACTTTTGTCCATTTTTTCTCGCTGTTTGTCTTCCTCCGTATTTGCTGCGTGACGGCCATCAGTAGCTTGGGAAGGAACTAAAAGAGACGCAAGCAAGGGGTAAATGAGGAATATGCAGGGAACGACACCGGCAAAAAGCACAGAGAGAAGGAGCGGCGAGGGGCGGAAAAGTACGAAGGGAGAAGGAGACTGGCGTCTTCGCGTGGACACGCCCTGGGCAGCAGCGTGCATTGCTATCCTGCTTGTCGCCCTCGGTCTGCACTATAAGGCACTTTGCGAGGACCGCACCGAGTTGTTACTGCCAGAGCTTATCAACTCGATGGAGACACAGTGCTGCTCGTTGGGCGACGTATTTGAGCGTCCCGCGACGGAGCCGCTGCTTCATCCTGTGCCCTCACAGTTTGGCGTGGCGGTATGGGTTGAGCGCGAGCCTTGGTCGTTGCCGGTGCACGACGCGCTCGATCGCATTGAAGAGGCAATTAGTCGGGGCTTAGACGCCACTACTGCCGCGGCATCAGGGCCGCGTGGGCCGCGGTTAATTCAGCGCATGGTGCGTGTGGCTACAAAACGGTTGGGGAATGGCAGTGGACAGGGCGACAGTGCCTCTCTCGTCCTTGATGCAACAACTCAACAGCTAGGCTTGGGGGTTGCCAAACACGTTTGCACAGCGGATTTGCGTGGAGAGGTGGTGATGTACGGTATAAGTTTCTTCCGCCGAGCGACCTCGGCTGCCGGTACTTCACACGTGGAATGTCTATCTTTTGATGAGGGGCGGGCGTACTGCACCATTCCGGAAAACGCATCTTCGACGTGGTTGTCGCGGGAAGTGCCAGCCGCCGTTGCAACGTTGATGTCCCGTTGGTTGAAACTGTCTAGCTTTCGTGACACGGCCGAGGTGCAGCGGTGGACGTTGAAGCGTAAGGTGCACAGTTGCATCTACGCTCTGCGAGCCCTGCGGCAGCTTGAGCGCTCTGTCGCCACCCACCCAGACATGCCAGCACCGTTAGACGTGGCTGAGACGGTCCATCGACTGCAGGCGTTGATTGAAGCCGGGGATTTCATACAATTTGCGCGGGCTGCGGACGACCTGCAGTTTCACCCACTTCTTCTGCCCCAACTGTACATTCCGTTGGACCAGGCGCTGGTGATTCATTTCTCGATCCTGCTGCCTGTGGCAGTCATGACAATTCTTGGAGTGCGCCTGACCATTGCGGCCCGAAAGCGGCGGCGCAACGCCGCAAAAAAACAAGAAACACCAGATGTGAAAAACGACTGACCGGAAGAACACCAGCGAGAATGGAATTGGGGCATTGGTGCCCTTTCTTCCCCCTTTTTTTTATTATTAGTTTTTTTCCTTCCCCTTCTCCCCTCCAATGATTGCGTGTTTGGGCTCTTTTAGATGATGTTCCTCCCCCTACGCCTCGTTTTGTGCGTACTTTTTCCTGATTCTCCTCTAGGTGGTAGCTGTGCGGGTGAACGCATTTGCGCCGTTTGAGTGAATGCCCCTTATTCCTTTCAATTTTCTTCTTTTTTCCTTTGTTGCCTCCCTGCGCATGTGCAGCGCCCGCGCGCCACTTCGTTAGCTGTTTTTTTTTTTCTTCTTGCATGGTTAACAGCGCACTCACTTCTTCTGGGTCGGAGGTCGGCCGACCGGCCCCTGCAACAACGGAGGAAGCAGGCACTGACCTCATTACGTGCCAGCTGTCACGCGCCCGTCTGTACGACCCCAACAGCAACACCAACAATAACACCGCCGCCACTGCTGACCCCAACATAACTGCCAACAACAACAAGAATGCTGGCCGTGGCAACTCCATCAAGAAGGTCCACAAGCTGAGCATTGACGGTGACGACGGTGACAGAGACTTTCTCAAGTGCGCTGAGATGATTGCAAACATTATTTGCTCGCGGCAGGCTTACAAGGATTGTGACAAGGGTGAGTTGGAGCATCCTTTTGAGACGGATGCGTCGGAATTTTTTGCGCAGTTGCAGGGCCAGCACCATGGCGATGGATGTGTGCTGAAGTTTGACGGCGGTGTGTACCGTTTTAACGGGATGAAAACGAAAATAGTGCCATGGGAGACATACATGCGTGATGTCAAGGCGGTATTCAGCGCCATTGAATCGGGCCCTTGTCTTTCCACCGCGAGGACGCGGCTCACCACAATTGCTGAAAAGTCACAGCTGTACTTTTTATTGAATGGTGGAGTGGAGCTGAGCTACAACAAGGACATGCTTGGGGGTGGCGTGTACGCCGTCTGTACACGTGTCGACAACGCCGTGCATCTGCCGACCTCCGTGACGGCCCCGACGCTGCTTGACTTCATCATCACAACGGCGGTGGAGCAGCCACGGACGCCGTTGTTCTACGACGAACAAGGAAGGGTTGTGCATCTCATGGAGTACTTGGAAAGCTGCGGTGTGACGGATCCAAGCGAGATAACCGGTCAGGGGCTTGGGCTGCAGCCAGTGCAGCACAGGAAGAAGCTTCAGCAGTACAACGTGCTAGATACAAACCTCAATCCCTCCGGAAAATTTGGTGCGCATCTACTGCAGGCAATATTCTCTACAAGTGGACCCAAGGAGGGAGACCTCCTCGGTGCCCTCATCCGTCCTGAGTTAGAGAAACGAGAGTTTAAAGAACGGCATGTGGTGGCGACTGAAATACTCTTCCCGCTATACGGCCAAAATGCCGAGGAATTGCAAAAACTTGCGGCATGGGTTCGGCGACAGGGTTTTAACTCCTTTGAGCTTAACATGTGGACATTGTGCATTCCACGCTCCGCACCGCTGTGTGGACCCAATGAGCAACCTGTCACGTGCGTCACCCTCGGCGACCAGTTGCGTCACATCTTTTATCCCATGTTTATGGCAACCCTCTACCCCATGGATGCTGCATGGGCGGATGTGGCCGCCTTACTACGCAAGACAGGTGGGATCAGCATTCGCCCTGAGCATGTCTTTCACACTCAAAACTTTCTATCCCATGCTGTAGACCCCGATGAGATTAAATACGGCGACATGGTAAACGATCACTACTTCTTTTATTATATTTGGGCGAATCTGGCCTCACTTAACGCCCTCCGCACACGTCTCGGTCTGAACACCCTGAATTTTTCTCCCTCCGTCTTTGAGGTGGCGCCTGCGTATGATCAGTTGGTCTCGAGTTTTCTCCTGGCAGATGTTGTATACCACGCCACTTCTCTAGAAAAGAGCTGGATCATGCAGTATCTCTTTATGTACTGCCGCATCGGTGTTGTTATGTCGCCGTTGCGGGACAATACACTTGGTATGTCCTACTTTGATCACCCTTTTGTGCGTTACCTGTCGCAGGGGCTGCTGGTGTCTGTCACAACCTCAGACCCGTTGTACTTTCACCACTCCGCCTCCCCCTTAGTGGAGGAGTACGCCACCTTGATGAAGCTGCACTCACTGCTGCCAATGGACCTCTGTGAGATTGCCCGTAACAGCGTGCTGAATAGTAACTTTCCACTGAAGATGAAGCGACGGTGGCTGGGAGACGAGTTTCAGGGTGCCATGAATCAGGGAAACGATATTCGCCGCTCCGGCGTCTGTGACGCTCGTCTGGAGTTTCGCAGCGAGTGTCTTCTCCACGAGGAGACGATACTGAACCTCGTCCTCTCGCAGGTTTGCAAGGAAGGTGAGCAGCCTCTCTCTCTTTCCTTCATCTCCACGAGAAACCCAGCCCGGCTGTCTGTGGAGGAGTGTCACCATTCGTGTGGGGGCCGGCGTCTCAACTACACGGATTGGCGGATTGTGTACCCGCGAATAGACATTGTTGGGGGCCAAATCCAGGCGCCCGCCATCGACGCCGTGGAGCTGCTGCGGGAGGTCATCTCCCTGCGCACAAAGTACGTCAAATCCCACGTCATCGATGTCGATGTGAAGGTGGAGGACGTCTTCAGCGACTCCAAGTTTGACGAGTCCAAGTGGGAGTATAACAACTACTACGGCGTGTTTCTGCTTTCCCGCACCGGCAAGTCCCCGCCGTGGCCGACGTTTATTCCGTCAGTGCGGGAGTTTATTGGCGACGTGGCAGCCGTGCGAGAGGCGGTAATGAGCCACCGCGGCCTGCAGGTCCTTGCTGACCAGCGACTTCAGCTGCTTGAGCGGAAGTTCTTGTTGCACCTCTCGCTAAACATTTCCAAGGAGGCAGGGGCGAAGACGGAGAAGGAGTGGAACAACCGCGACTTCTTCACGGCACACAAGGTTGACACGAATGTGCAGACTGCAGCCGGTATGAATGCCCGTACACTGTTGGAGTTTTTTGTTGAAAAGGCGCTCCACCACGGCCACGATGTGGTCTTTGAGGAGGACAACCAGCCTGTCACCCTGCGGCAAGTACTGGAGCGCTGCCAGATCAACGCCACCCGTATTACCGTCGATGAGCTGAATCACCTCATCAGTTCCAACCCGCGTATTCGAAACACGTTTCTGGAGGTGGACAACTTTATGAAGGGCCGTTACTTTGCGGAGCTGACTAAGCGCACCTTGGAGTTGTACCAGGAGGACGCCTTTAGCTTTTCTGAGAATCGGCTTGTAATTAAAGGGGCCTCAAAAGATGAATGGTGGAAGTTGGCGCAGTGGTTTGACCGTTACGGCATGGCAAGCTCACATAATCGGTGGATGATTAATTTGCCACGGCAGTACCGCCGCCTCCGACAAGAGGGTGTGGTGCGGAACTTTGGCGAGTACATCGATAACATGTTCCAGCCGTTGTGGGAGATCAGCCTGCACCCGGCTCAGGACACCAAGCTTCACTACTTTCTCACGCATGTGTCGGGGATGGACTGTGTGGGAGATGAGTCGAAGATAGATCTCCCACTCACCGGGACCTACCCGCACGACTGGGACAACGACCTTAATCCGCCGTACAACCTCTACCTCTACTACTACTGGGCAAACATTACCACCCTCAATGAGTTTCGCGCCTCCCGCGGTTTGGGAACTTTTTCGTTTCGACCGCAGTGTGGTGAGTTAGGCGGGGTAGAGCACCTCATTGGTGGATTTCTGCTTGCCAACGGCATCAACCACGGTGTCACCCTCAGCCAAAAACCAGTTCTTGAGTACATGTATTATATAACGCAGCTGGGGGTGGCAATGTCACCGCTGAGTAACACCGCGGCCGCCTCCGCCTACCTGTCCAATCCGTTTCCACTCTTCTTTCGCCGCGGTCTTAACGTTAGCCTTGCGACCAATGAACCGCTCTACTTTCACTTCACTCGGGAACCGCTGATTGAGGAGTACTCCATCGCTGCAAAAATATGGCAGTTTGAATTCAATGACCTGTCTGAGATTGCGCGGAATAGCGTGAAAAAGAGTGGATTCCCGCCCACCTGGAAGGAAAACGCCCTCGGTAAGTTGTATCACCTGAACTCGGCACTAGGCAACGATGTACGAAAGAGTCGTGTTTCGGATATTCGTGTCGCATACCGGTACGAGACGTATCACTCGGAGCTGGACTTTCTTTCAGGGCAGCTTTCAAAGGGACGATCGATGCCGCGGGCGATGCGCTTGCTTGAGGAGGAAATTGCCATCTACGAGGAGGTCATGCTGACCAAAGTGGTGATGCCTGCTGCGGCGGATGAGGATGAAGGGAGGGAGGAGACACGCAGCCCAGTGGCTCGTGCAGTGCGGTTAAAGGCAGAGTTGGAGGCGTTGGAACGCGACATGCAGCGGATGAAGCTTCTCACTATGCAGGTGAGAAACGAAAACCGGGGCATTGTGGAGGCCTTCAACCGGATTCGTGCGAAGCTTAACACAGAGGGCCTCATTGTGATGGGAAACCTTACCAACCGTCCTGCGTCACCCAAGTCGAACGGTGTTGCAGCCGGCAACACAAACAGCGGTGTGCCGGAGAATCACGCCAAGGCATCTGCTTAAAGATAGTTGCTGTGACTCTTTCTGGCGTCGGCAATGCTGTAGCTTTGGCATTACTGATTGGGTGGAGAAAATTTTGCTTCCCAGTGGATGTAAACAAGAGCATTGGCGAAATGAGGGATCTCCCTCCTCCTCGAAAACCAAACCAAACAAAACAAAACAAAATGATGGGGAACGAGACCCGTTTTCTTTATGTGTACCATAAAATGGCACATGTGCCTCTCTCTTTCTCACCCGCGAAGAGGAGCGGAGCCAATGCGACTGAGAGGAGAGAGGAATGCAGAGGAGGGAATAATATAAATTTGCACCTTTTGCATCCCTCTGTGGCGGTGAGTGCAAGGGCCACGAGTGTGGTTTGGCATTTTGTTTTGTTGGTTTCTTCCATCCACTCTAATTTATTTTGCGTTTTAGGCACGCGGTTTGTTCCGCCGCTATTTCATTCATAGTACATATCCGCCCACAAAGGCACTCAGCAGAGACGGTAATGAAGACAATTATGGAGGATTTACTGACTGGGTGGTCGGTGAACGACGGAAGGTTAAAGCTGCATGGCAGCAGTGGGAGCCATTTTACGCCGCCTAACGGGCAGGGGTCACGCTCTGGTGGATCCATCACAGGGGCGAGTTTGGGAAGGACCCGATTCTACGGCTGGCATTCCTCGCAAACATTCTCTGATGAAAGTCGTGAGGGGGGCGGTGCTGCGGGCCCGCGCTTTGGCTCAGCGGCATTGCGTGTTAAAGAGAAAAACCGCCTGCAGCAGCAGATGTATTCACCTTATTTTTGCCCTGTGGGCCCGGCCGCAGTGCGAAGACGACCCGGCAACAGGACCTTTGCTGCTGCGGTGAGAACTGCCCCGTGCCGTCCATGCAACAATTCCGCAGGGATTACACGCAGGTCACGTTGTGTTTCTGGAGAGCCGACGGCTTTAGCTCCTTTACCAATGGCCCCGCGGCTGGTGCAGAGTGTGAAAGTTGGTTCAAGAGCTGTGTCGCCGCCACGCAAAACGTCTGAGCACATCCCGCGCAGCCCCGGCGGCGCCTTCCTTCGTAGTCTTGCTCAATCACCCCAACCGTGCGATGAGAGCAATAACGTCCTTCCTGATGTACGGTGTCAATCTAATAATGACGCCACTAATTTAGCCTTTGACCATCATCCGCAAGAGGGCAACGTGCACGGCGGCGGTGCCATGGTCCATCTCTTGGTAAACGAAAACAGGCGGGGCAGCGATTGTTCTTCTTTTCAAGAATCTCCCTGCGAGAGCCCCGCCAGTGACCCGGCAGTTTTTTTGCGTCTACAGATGAGGTGGGAGGCTGCCTGCGCGATGGAGGCGAGCGCGTCGCAGCGTTGTGTTGTTTTGACGAAAATGATACAACAGCTAAAGAATCAGATTGACGAGGCCAGTGGTGCTCTGGAAAGCGTCAAGATGCAGCGGGTTTTGCTTCAAGAGAGAATGCGGTCGTTCACCGCTCTTCAGCTGGACGTGGGACGAGAGGAGAGGAAATGCAGGGAGCTGCACCGTCTGGCTGAGGCGGCGGTGAAGCGTAAGAACTGCGCTCAGGTGTTGCAGCCCAAAAAAGGATTGCGTGTTGATGCGGCAACCGAACTACATGAATTTGGTGAGGATAAGCCGACGCTGCTGGCGAGCCTTGCCCAGCAGCGTGACTCACTTCAACTGGAGCGAACATCGCTTAGGCAGGCGATTCGTGCGGCTAGTGCGGAATCTTGCGGGAAATCGACCAACAACGCTCTAATTTCCAGCGTCGCACCACGACTGCAGGAGGCCGAGCGGCGAAGGCTTGAACAGAGTATCGCAGCTCTGCAAGGGCGGGAGCAACAACTGAGGGTGCGAGCCCGGCGGTCCGAGATGCACGCCGATAGTATCATGGAAAACGTTGAAAAACTTCGAACTGCAATGCGCCAGACAAAAGAACAGTACCGCAGAAAGGTAGTGGATAGTTCCGATACGACGTCTGTCTCAGAGATCCTTGAGAACGTAAGTGTCACAGCTAACTCAATGGGGAGCTGCTTCGTCACAGAGTTGGCGGCCTGACGTGTTTCCTCATGGACGAGGATAATCTGGATGACGCTTCTGAACAAGTTTGTTTGCTTTTATTTGATTGATGTATATTATGTCCGTGCCCGTCTCCGTGCCTGGGCATGCGTGAGAAAGTGTGTGTGTGTGAGAGTGAGTGAGAGAGAGATGGATGCGATGCCGTGTAATACAGACCGTTTTTTTTTTTTGTACTGCTTTCTCCCTTTGGACGCATTTCATATTCTGCGGTGTCGCCGCGAAGCCCCACGTCTTTTTTAATTTAATTTTTTTTTTGTTACCTTCTCTTCTTATCCCCTTCTTTCTTTTTCCTTTTTTGCGTGTGTGCCTGTGCGCATAGGTGTGGTCTTGGTGCTTTATCAAGGGAACTTCCTTTCTTGGCAATGCGAGTGGCCACGGAACGGGTTTGTCTTCCTTCTGGGGAGCGACTAAGTTCCTTTCCGGAGCCGGTTGTGCAGAAGATGAGGAGAATTGCCTTCGCCGTTCTTCGACGACTATTTTCTCCTGTTCTCAGGCGGCACGTGGCCACTCTGCACCGAAGGAAAGCTCTCACGTTGTGGCGGCGTCTGAAGGATTTGGAGGCGGAGCTGACGCTTGTTCTGGAGCGGCTTTCTGCACCCGTGCAATGTGCCCAGAAACTAGGTGCGGACGAGGCGTTGACGGGGGCGTCGGGGGCTAATAAGGCGTATCGTTGCGTCAGCGGACTACCGTGTGTTTACTCAAGGGGAGATGGTGCAGTACGTGGGGGAACCGGGCAATGCCGTGGTCGTGTTACTCGTTGGAAACGTAAAGAAGAGAACGAGGACGGTAAAAGGAAAGAAGAAATCCTTGCTGGAGAGGCCAAACTCTCTTCCTTCCACCGCACCCATTGCTGTGATACCATTCGATGAGTCCTCTCATGTGACTCATGAGTCTTCTACACCCAGCATGCGCAGCAGTAGTATGTACATCTCCTATGTAGACGCGCCAATAACATACGATGTGATTGGTGCGCCTGCGGTGTTTGGGGAGTATACCACAGTGGGGGGATACCCATGCACGGAATGCCTCGTGACGGAGTCTTTACTTGTTGTGACGGCTACCCTGTCGAAGGAGGCCTACTGTGAGATCTTGGGCGCATTTCCTAGGCCCATTCAGCAGCATGTTTTACTGATGGCGTTTAGGAGCCGTGAAAAACTTCTTCCGCGGTTTGCCCCCATGAATCTTGCCCGCATGCGGCTCTGCCCTCTACTTACCGAACTTAGCGACGAAAACCTGCTGCATCTCATGGATTACCTTGTTCCATGCACGCGAGCCGCTGGCATGCAAATTGGTGAACCCAACAACCCCAAACACATATTTTTTATTCGACGGGGTGCAGTACATATTCGTGATGAGGAGGCTCTTGTGGCAGAAGTGATCCCCCCCACGCAAGCAAGGAGCCGAAGCCTCTTTTTGGAGGGTCATACTTTTGGCGAGCGACAGTGCATTTTTCGCGAGGCTCTCGGGGACTGCTTTTACGCGTTAACAAACGTGGACTTGTATTTGCTGCCATTTTCTGTGCTCATTCAATTTATGAAGCAGCAGCCAGACGCACGGACGACGATTTACGCCTCTGCGAGGGCGGCCTCCGCAGTGCTGGAAAACGATTATGGGGGGATGCGGTTTGTCCCAGCTTCGCTGGAGAAGCTGGGCATTGTTATGTTGGGCTCTGCGCAGCTCTCTAAGTGGTTTCAGCGGCGTGTCAACATCAGCACCGCCAGCTCCAGTTGTACCTCAGTTTTTGGCACCCTGAACTCGAACCTGGGAAAGGTGAAAAACCCAATGGGCTACGCTGCTCCTGGGGCCTCACCGCATTTTATTGAGCAGATACACAAGATTCCACTGCTAAATCTCTGCACACCACCCGACGCCTTCTACGTCGAGTGCGCACTGCACTGGAAGATGACTTCATACGACTCGGGGGATTACATTGTCCATCGTGGCAGCGAGTGCAACTGTCTGCTGCTGTTCCCACAGGGAGGTGCTGCTGTCGTGTTGGAAGAAAAACATATTCCACAGGGGGCCGTGAACTTGCCCCCAGCTGCCTTGCATAATAAACTCTCAGCTGTGCCACGGGAGTGTATCATAGGCTACACGTGCGTGCGCAGACACCCGTGGACGCTCAGCGTTATTGCCATGGAATCTCAAGTGGAGGTGTGGGAGATGAAACGAGTGACATTTGTAGAACTTCTTCGGAAGCATCAGTTGGACCGGAAGCTGCAGGACCTTGTGCTGCAGCTGATGCAGCCGCTCATGCGACTGAGGAGTCGCTCCGTGGTTCTTGACATGCAGCCACTTTTGACGCCATTGCCTAACTCTCTCTGGAGTGAAGGACGCATTCCCAACCTGCATCCTGTGAGCCCGTCCGAATGTCTGCGCTTCCCGGTCTGGAAGGAGGGAGATTTCCCAATGCAATCCCACAACTTAAACCGCCGTTCAAGCATTTTCTAGGCCCACTTTTAGATTTTTTCAGGGGCTACCGAATTGACTGCAACTCTCTCCTTTCAATAAGGAGGCCGTTGGCGGAAGGGAAGGTGCTACTGGACCCGAAGGAGATCAACCGGTCAATGCAGCAGGTTGAATGGGATGAGTTATACACGCATGTATTCGATGGGGGGGGGGGGGGGGCGATGCCAATAGTGTGTCTCAGTCCCTACTTACTCGGCTGCTGTCCTCTGGGCCAACGTTTCGGCGGGCAACAGGAGTTAGAATAGCGCCTGGCAGGCTTTGGCAAGGGATGTGTGCCTGGATGTAGATTAATCTCCCCCCGTTATTCAACACGTTGAAATTAGAGTAATTAGAGGACACATTACACGTGACAAGCGTGGGTGATATGCCGTTTTTTTTTCTTATTGTGTAGGCATGCGTGTAGCTTGTCTCCTGTTGGATGCAATCATACCATGCCTTCAAAAGGCGTCTTTTATTTCTGGTTCAGTCATTGTTGTTGTTGTTGTTGTTTTTTTTTCTGGGTGCTTTTTTGCTTTTGGCGGCGGCTGCCGGGCGGCTGGGATGGAGCCCGTACGTACATCATTTCTGTCTGCACTCCCGACTCGAGGGGCAAGCCACCACTACACACCGCACATCTTTCTTTTTCTCTCCTTGTGGAGGTTTTTATTTCACATTTCTCTCACGGGTGGAAGAACACCATTACGAAGTGATCCACCTGTAGAGGGGAGGGGAGGAGGGAAGAGGATATTATTGTCCGTGTGTGCGTGTGCGTGTGAAAGGTGGGCTTAGCCGTACCTCACGAGTCGCAAAACAGTGAAGAATGGCACAGGCGGTTCCACAGTGTCTCCTCCAGTTGCTGGAGGACTACACGTTGCAGGCACTCGACGCCGCGCAGGACGTCTCTGACGAGTTTGAGGAGGAGTTGGTGGAGCTGACAAGTCGCGCCCAACGCATTGAGACCGTTTTGCAGCTCGCTCGCGAGTGCGAGCGGAGTCGCTCTGTGCCAGTCTCTCCAGTGGCATCAGAAACAATTTTTCGGAACTCGTCTGCAGCGCTCACGCAATTCACCCTGCAGGCGTTGGGGCAGATGTCACAAGAGCTCACTGGGGTTCCGGATATCCGTGCAGCGACACCTGATGTTAAGCTCCCCCCGTTTGGGCTGCATCCAATTTGCAGGCCCGTTTCGCTGGCGGAGGCGGCGCTCGAACTGTTTGCTCGCAACACAAGAGTTGTTTCCAGGCGTGTGGGGAAGCGCGAACGCGACGCCGACGCCGCGCGAAGGGAACCCCAGCAGGAGGTAGCCGTAAAGGGAAGTGTCTTCTCAAGTCTTGCGGAGAAGCAGCGAGAAGGACGATTGGCGCTGTATACCGCGCGAACCGCTCTGTTTCCTCGCACGGTCCCTTTGCCCACACTATCGATTAAAGGCGGTGAGGAGACGCTTCCGTCGTTTGTACCCCCAGCTGTGAGAGATTTTGCTGCGCTCAACGTGGAGGCCGAGTGCGAGATGCTGTCAGCTTTTTATCGCGTGGACGCAAAGGCCCAGCTGCTTCGGGAACTACCTACTCTTCGAAGTTCAATCAAGCACCTTCAAGACTCCTTGCATGCTGCCGGCGTGTCGCTTCACTGTCAGTGTGACGAAATGCATGAAGGAGGAACGCAACCATGGCTTGAATTTCCTTCTGTTTCTGAGGGCGTGATTAGAATATCGGTTAGGCAATCCCTGCTACTGGATGTCACATTCGACTCCGTGCAAGGCGGGCAATGGCGCGTTTTGTCTTTACATTGGCTCTTGCGTGCTCAGACACTGCCGGCGATCTTACAGAAGCAAACTTCGTCACTGTGTGTGTGTAGTGGCGAGGATGATATGCAGCTCTTATCACACGGGGGAGCTCTGCGTGTACAACCAGCGCACAATGAGGCCACTGTACGCTACCTCACCAACTGTCTTGAAACCGGGTTGGAGAGTGGGTGTATGGGGGCTCTTCGTGTTGTGAATGCTGTGGTGATGGAAGTGGTTCAAGCACAATGTAAGGCGTTGAGGGAGAAGTTTTTTGTGGGCCCGCTTGTGTCGTCGTTTATGCTGGATGTTCGTCCAGGAACACATGTGGCTTTTAAACTGGAGCTGCCTCCCACGATGGGGTCGGCACAGGGCGGTGCGCTGCATGTGAAGTACAAGCTCTACATGGGTACGATTGTTGTGGAACGGAGACAGGGAACAGATGCCCGAATGACGCAGCAGTCCGACCTCTACGCTGACTCGTTGGTGCGATTGAAACCCTTTCCCGTTGTAGTTGTGGACGTGGAGTCTCTTGTGTGGCAGCTTGTTTCTGTGTAGTCGTCTGCTACGAGCTTTGGGTCTCCTCACGTGTTGGCGTTGCGGTTCTTTTCGTTCCTCTTGTTGTGTCGTATTGACGGATGTAAAAGTGCGCTCCGTGCAGCTGCAGCTGCAACGTCAACATTTGCTTTTTTTAAAAAAAATAATGTGAACTCCGTTCAGGGGCATCTCTTTTTTGGGGTTGTGTAGACAGTCTTACTCTTTGTTTTGCTGTGCGTGGATGCGTATGTGTGGGGTTTTGGCTGGATTTTTCTTTTTCTTTTTTGCTTGCATGCCGTTCAATGTTCTCCATGCTCCTGCGAGGAAGAAGGGTTTTTTTTTTGTTGTGTGTGTGGGGGGTGGGGGGAAATGTGTGTTGCAGTCTGTCACAGAGAGGAGTGTGGGGGGAAGGAGGAGGCGAAGGTGGGGTCGGGGGGCAACTGACAGAGAACTGCCGACGTGCAGCAGCGACGGGGATGTGGGGGATCTTGCCACCAAAAAGGGCGACGACGCCATTCTTCTGACATTGCCGCTCTGCCAGCGATGGGTCAGCAAAGCTGCTCTACCCGTTTCTCCTGCACCGCGCCACGCCGCGCGGGCAGTGCTGCAACGCGAATTTGGCTTTTTGAGGTGAGCGATGTCGTGCCCGGCGGCCACTTTCTCACTGCCCTGCAGCAGGTGGTTCGCGATGAACTGAATGATGCGATTGGGAGGTACCGTACCACCACTGCAACGATGATCTCCCCACTGCCGATGCGTCATTGCCGGTTCAACTTATAGCGGAGATTCTTATGTGACCCTTCGAGCGAGGCGGAAGACTAACGGGTGAGTAAGGCGACTTCCTAGCCAGCCGCTTATGTTAGGCAGATTTTTGCGTTTTCCGCCACGTTCGCCTTTATTGGACAGAATATGCGTCCCTCGTGCATGCTTTCTATTCGTGCCGCAAACTTTGCGCTAAATGGGGTGCTGTTATTGGCCTTAAAGGCTCATCCGGTGGTTGAGGCAGGTGTCGGGAAACCCATAGAGTTAACGCCGCTTTACCTACTGGCTTTCGATCGGTATATGCGACTTCAGGGAGCGTCAATACATGTCACTTGCGCCTCGTGTGGGAGGGTGGATGGGTGGGATTCATTGGCTGCACTGTCATCGGAGAGGGGGGCGGCAGAGTTGCTCGCAACAGCTGCAGAGGCCTCCCTTTTCCTTTTCCCCTTCCGTGCAGCAGGCGGACGGCGGCGAGGTTCTGTCGTTTCAGTTATGACGACGTTCCTCTGCGTTGCCGTCACCGCCTGAATTGTCCTTGCTGGAGACGAAGATATACTGCTCAAGTTTTACCCACGTTTAACCTACAACCGGCCGACGGCGCTTCCACAACTTCGTTTAACCTGCACACGCGGAAAGACTCGTTGCTGTAACCGGTAATGGCTTCACCGTAGAAGAAGCAGCAGTGGTGGTGCCAGATTCCACAGCAAAAACACGGAAGCGGAGCGCAGCAGAAGCGAATCATGAAACGGGCATGCGTGAATATTCTTTTACATTTTCCAGACACGATTGACCTCGTCGTATCCCATCAACTGCTGCTCACGTCTGAGGCTGTCACGGCTCTAAAGGGTAATAATGTGGGGGAGGCACTTGTGGACTTCTGCCATTCGGAAGATGTGGGCCTCACTGTGACAGTGAAACATGATCCGGAAGGGATGAGAAATAAGCTTTTTTTATGCGTCATAATCCTCATTGTTGTCTCCTCCGTCGCCTGTGCAGTCTTGTTGCTTGTGTGGCGCCGTGTTGAGGATTGCAGTGTATGTCCCACTACCGTTGGAGCTTGTGGTTATCTCTGCGCTGGCGCGTCATTTACTCGGCCCGGTTGCCTTTGCAGCGCGGCGGCGTGGTATCAGGGGCCGTGTGGATGAATTGTATGCACCGCAGGGGTTGGATTTGGATAACACGTACGTTAATGGCGCTGCCTCTCCGCTCCATTGAGAGGCTTCCCCAGAAGAGTTGGGACACCACGAAATTGTGCTCCACTTTGGTAAATACAAATGTTCTTATCTGTGATGCTGGCATCTTCTCAGCGGCCGGGCCTCCAAAGCCGTTGCCTCGTGAAGTGTCGGCGTCGTTCTGGCAGGGTTTTTTTTTTTTGGACAATGAGGCTGCGTCTTCAGCGACTGGCAAGTACTTGGAGGGGCCTCCAGGGCTGCGGCAGGATCCACTACGCGTAATAAATCAGACGCTACTTGTGCAGGAAGAGACTGAACAGCGGTGAGAGCCTTCGTTGAGTAAACTGCCATGGAGACGGAAATTCTGGACCAAACACCGCGGACGCCGCCCTTTCACTTGCCAGTGTTTTTAGGCTTACAGTTGGAGCTTGTGAGCACCACATGCAGTTTTCTAGAGTCAGTCAGCACACTTACCGTTACCGCGGATCTGATTTCCTCATGGATAGGAACATGGATCGAGTGTATGAATCAACTGTGTAGTCCTGCGTGTAAGGAGGAAGAGAGACTACGTGTTTCGAAGAGCAATGAGTCGTAGGTATCTGCTTTGTAGCGGGATGTGTCCTCAAAGGAGTTCCCTGAGCGTACGACGAAGAAAGCATTAAGGAATTCTCTTCTTGATCGTGAAAACTCGAATAATAGCGAGTTTTGTGCAGATGCAATGTGCATGAATGGGTGTGGTGGGGATGAGTATAATTACAAAAGGGTGTCAAACGCTATCGCAGCTGAGAAAGTGCTTGTAGCCTCCAGCATAATGAGGAGGGGAGGAGTGGGGACCTCCATAACGGAGGTTATGCTTCGCAGGGCTAGACCTATGCTGAAGCCTTGGACGTTGCGATGCCAGTTTCAGTGGCTGCTGAGGTTATTATTTTTATTTTTCTCACACTTGGCTTTCCGTATCGACGTTGTACCCTTGTGTGAGGACTGGGGTGGCATCAGGAGGAGTTACCGGGGGCGCTTAGGTGGGTTTGGAAGCCGGTGCTGCTGGGTGCCGTGTGGGACCGTTCCCTCACAGGGTGAGTCGCAGCCTCTTTACCTGCTGTTGCGCCTGAGGATGAGACGGATAAGGAGTTGTTGTTTATTTCAAACCTTTTTTTTTCAGGGCATTAACGGTGGGGCAATGAGAGCACCACAAAGGTAGCGGTTTGTGATACAGATGAGAGCGGCGGCAACAATGCACAATAATAACAGCTGCGTGAGGGGCATCACTCTGGTTTCGACAGAGGAGCCGGAGGGGGCGGGGGTAGAGTGCTGCGCCTGAGGTTACATGCTCTGTTGGGGGTTCTCTTTACGAATCCTTCTTTGTTTCTCTCCGCGGGTTCCGTTGCGTTGGCAAATCTGCAGTACGACGCGTCCAAGGGATCGCTCGTGCTGGGGACGATTGTAGTCGACCTTGTGACCATCACCATTTTCTTTTTTGTTTTTGTGTGAACGTGGCGATGCTGTGCGGAGCGCATAATTGGGGAGGACACGCGGGTGCCATGGGCTGCTCGCGTGCCGCACTGAGGGGGTGGGTCTTGCACGCTCGTGCGTTGGTGGGGTAGTGCTGGCCCCCTTGCTGCGCCTCTGACGACGAAGATGACAGTGATATCCATTTATGATAGTTACCTGTTTCTATCCTTGTGGTGGCACGCATCTCCCACCACATCACGCTTTTTTTTTTTGTTATCATCTTCACTGAGGATGAGGCAGAGACAAGAAACCCTCCTCTTTGCGAGCACTGCTTTCTTAACGGAGAGGTACATGTGTGGGTGTCGTGTGCAGCGTCGGAAATTATCATTATTATTATTAATGAACAATTCTCATTGCGTGTGTTGTGGCTCCTCATTGCAGGACGTTCCCCGTTTTTTTTTTCTTTTTGACCTTGTAGCTTACATCTGCGTCGAACACACACACGCACGTGGAGGTAAGGAGGGAGTAACAGGGGAGATGAGTTCGGGATTTAGCGCCAGCAATTTTTTGCGCTTGGCGACTGACACTGTCCGGCATGACATGCGGACAATGCTGCACTGGGACCCAGTGTACAACAGGGTGCACTGCGCCATGCGGGATGCCTTCTTCCTCGTCATCGACACCCCCAAATTCTTCACGTACACGCACAGTTCGTATGGGGCAATGCGGCGGTACATTCGTCAGGCCCGTATTAACAAGGGTAAGGTGAATCCAGAGGACTTCCGCGACGTAGACACCAATGTCTTGCGGGAGTCGCTTATCCGCTACGCTCAGTGGAAAGGACCATTGCAGAAGATTGATTTTCGCTGGTTCTACTGGATGTATGCGCTTATGATTGCGTATGTCTTGTGGCAGGGGCTTGTGCTTCAGAAAATGCTGGACGAGAGGGTCGAGCGCTCTGGCATGTCGTTGGATGAACGTCGCCGAATGTTTGACGATGAGTACGAAGAGGATGTGCGACCCCGCTAATGCGCGGGAAGGGAAGATGCCTGCGGGTTTTGAGGGTGAAACGATTTCTCGTATAGTTATCAGTGACGGCGATAACATGTCACTTTTCTTTCTTTTTGTGTGTGTGAGTGAGTGAGTGAGTGGGGACGGGGGAAAGCAATGCTCCTGCGACGCTCTGAGTACATGATGGATTTTTCTCGCTGCGGAAAAGCCGCAATGTGTGTTCTTTTCTCTTTTCCGTAGTTGAGGAAGAAAAGAAAAGAAAACTAAAAAGAGGCAGGTTCCAGACGTTGAGTTTCACTGTTTGTGATGACTGCAGCCCCGATGCTGCTGCCCAAGAAGGACAAGTATGAACAGCTGCTGGCAAAGTACGACTGGAGCTCGCCATTTCCACCACGCGGCTACCAGTTCGGCGTAGGACGCGGTGCTAAGCCGTTCTCTACATCCGCAGAGTTGAGTTCTGCTATCGGTGCTACCACCGCCCCCTTTTTGCTCTCAACACCTGAAACGAATGGCCTGTTAGATGCGTTAGATCGTCTCGAGGAGCGGCGGCAGAAGCGCCGAAGGGATGACGCGAAGAAGTCTCACCGTGTCGCCGCCACGACGCACGAAAACGCGAAGCCGAAGACTCTGCTTTCCATGGACGATCTTGCCACGGTTGGCAGCGGTATGGCGGGACACTCGCTGGTGAAGCGCAAGGCGCGCACAGAGGATATGGATGTAATAGATGACCACGCATTTGCGGACGAGACGTCGGTGGTGACGGCGGGGGACTTGCTTCGCAGCCAGACTTTCACCACCAATCAAACGCTGGAAAACATTCTTGGAATGGGCTCGCCAACGGAGCAAACGACGTGGATTACGCACTCACGTGCATTTCGTGAAATGGGGATGACAAAAAAGGCACAACAGACACTAATGGAGGGTTGTAGACTTACTGGGGCTAAAGGACCATTTATCTGGAAGGAGCGTTTAGAGTACACTCAGGACCCGGCAGCTCAACGACAGCTCCTTGAAGAGGCTGTAAAGGCCTGTTCCGGGTGTGAGGAGTTGTGGTTGCTGTTGCTAGAGCATGAGCCTCCCCACGAGCAATTACACTGGCTGCAGCAGGCCGTCATGATGTGCCCCTCGAGTGAGAACCTCTGGCTACGCGTCCTGCAGCACATTTCTGCGCCACGAGATCAAAAGAAGATTATCCGCAAGGCACTTGAAGTGACCCCTCAGCTTCCGTCTCTTTGGGCGATGTTGGCAAGGCTAGAGTCCTACGAGGCGGGTAAAGCCATTTTTAATGCGGCTGCAGCCGAGCATCTCTCACTGCAGATTATTGTTGAGGCATCCAAGTTTGAGGAGTTTCACCTGCATGCACACGTGAAGGATGGAAATGGGACGCAGGAAGGAGGGCAGCAGGGGTTGAGCAATGAACGAATTCAATGCTTTGTGCGTCAGGCTGCAGGGCGGTTTCTTGTAGTGGACGAGGAAAAGTCAAGAAGAGAGTGGCTTGAGGCGGCACGCGCCGCTGCCTTTGAACGATACATTGTGACGTCCGCATACATGTATTTGTACTTTGTTTCCGACAGGACGGCAGCCTCTCTTTCGGTACCCGCCACATGGATAGAGGATCTAATGGCACTACTCCCAGACGCATGGCAGACGCATGAGACACTCTGCGCCGCATGGGCGGCGATGCTCATCCTTCACCAGACGTGCAGTAAGGCTTCACAGGGTGACTCCGGCGTCACAGAAAAGGAGGTGGAGGTCATGACCGCTGCTTTGCATCTGGCTCCGTCCTTGGCGATGGACGCCATCCTGTCGGCGTTGGCACAGCACCCCTTTCTTACCAATGCATTCGTCGTGAAGAGCGGTAAGGTGGAGGAGGAACAAGAGGAGGAGCTTGACCTACCGGCGAAGACGACAACTTCGGCCTTGTCGCCAGCAAATGGCGCCACCACTTCGGCTACCGCGGCTTCGCATAGTCTTCCATTGCCACTGACATGTGTTTTTCTTCCAACGCTGTTGCCTATGCCGTCGCTTGCCACGGCGGAGGTGACAATTCGCATCGCTAAAGTATTGTATGATCGCAGACTGTATGAGGGCGCCTTACATGTGCTGCAGCTGGGCATTTTGCAGCACCCCACAAATACCTCTCTCTTTGCAGCTGCAGCCAAAACCCTTGTGGCACTTGATCGTGAGGCACAAGCCGTGGAATTGCTTTTGCGGGGAACGGAGCTTCTAGCGGTGGATAGTGACATTGTGTGGGTTAAGTTGGCCGTGCATCAGCGAAGTAAAGGCGAAAAAATTTTGCCTCTTCTTGGGAAGGCTTTGAACATGTTTCCCAAGTCTGAAAAGCTGTGGTTGATGCGATTGGAGGCAGAAGGGATGCGGATTAAAGGGTTGCTGGATGATGCGGCAATGCGGGGCGTCAGCACGTCAGCCTTCATCACTGAGCTGCGCCAAATCTACATGAAGGCTCTTGGTCTGGCGCACTGTCGTTTCTCCCCCGCTGTGTGGTGTTACGCAGCTGAGCGGTTGGAGTCCACTTTGTTGAGCAATGCGAGTGCAGCCCGAGCGCTGCTTCTTGAGGGTGTCGTCGTCTGCGGGCAGCAAGAACCGAGTAGGAAGGCAGAAATCCATGCCACTTTTGGCCTTGCGAGGTGCCACGTGGAACTAATGCACGGGGGTCGTGAAACAGCTCTGGAGGTTGTGAGGGAAACGTTACAGCTGCTGCCTAAAAAGAATGGCTGCTTTACTGTTTCTGTGGGCGAGCTGGTGTCTCTTTCCATTGACCTTGAGGCACCTGCAGCGCGGGGTCGTGCGGCGGCACAGGCAGTGCAGCATTGGCATGTGCGGGATCCCCTAGTGATTAGCTCCATTGCGAAGGTGTACCATGCGGCTGGCAAGTGCGACAAGGCATTTGATCAGGCATTGAAGGCGGTAAAAATGAGTCAAGGGCGTTGTGGTGATGCTGTGGCCTTGTGGCTGAAGCTTGCCTCCCTGCCTGCGTACAGTCACGTGGTGAGATTGTTAATGGGAGTAACTGACGAAGCTGAATTGTCTAACACGGAGGAGTCTGCTCCTATGAGTATGCTGTTGCCATGGCTATGGAGCCAGGTTGGAGCGGACGGCGGTGATACGGATCCAGCGAGTGATGCGGGCAGCAGAGAAAAACGCACAGCAAAAATTAACAATGGTCCCCTTTGGCTGCATGTCGCCAAGATACGGGACCCAAGCAACGTGACACTGCTCGGCTACAGGGACTCTATTGAGTCCATGCTACAGCAGGTAATGGATCTCATTGAGCTGTGAGAGGTACGACTTATCCTATCCTCCCTGGCTGGTTGTTATGCGAACGTTGAGACACTTGTCTGTATTACTCTCGTTGTTGTTGTTTTGATGGACTGGGAGTTGAGATGATGGCTTGATTTCCCATTCTTTTTCCTTTAATAAATGTTTGTGGGGGGTAACGCTGGAAAGGGCCTCGCTTGCACTCCTCTCTCTCTCTTTGGATGATGCGTGTACAAAGCTCTTTTCTATTTACTGCTGTGTCACGGATGTTGTCTGTGGACTCACATGCATACGCATGTGCAATTGGATGCACGCTCTCACTTTGGTTTTCTCTTTGGCACCTTTCTTGTTTTTGTTTGTTGGCTTGTCCCGTATGAGTCCTTAAAGGGAATTTGAATTTAACAGTTGGACCTTGTCGGCCGCAGTGGCTTGCTTTTCTCGTGCCCTTTCAAGGAAGAAGCAAAAGTTGACATCTGCTTATTGCAATTAACACACATCGTGGCACGCCAGAGTCGAGCGGCGCCGCCAGCTGTGCCACAAACGGAGGAATTGAATAAGACTGAGCTCATATATCGGCGATGAGCGAAGTGCCTGAGGAGTTTACGGACTCGGCCGAAGAGTGGGAGGCGCCTGTGCAGGTTTACCCGGCGGAGGAGGACAAGCCGCGGCG